AGATTTAAAATTTTCCATTAATGTCATGAATCAATGTATGTTTCTTGATCAATTAACTTATATGTGAAAATTATGGAATTCTTAAGATCTTGGTATTAGGGTTTAATTTCTTACATGTATACCTCAGAGCCAAGTTATGAAGTTTTCTGATTTTCCTTTAAAGATTAATGTTTTTCATTATCAATCCTTGATTATTTTATAGATTTAATGGATTAATTTTTTGCTGAAATTAATGAAGTTAATTATTATTAAATTAACGATTGCGATTTCTGTTTTATGGAATTAATCATGGTTAAAGTGGATTAGAGTATAGCCATTAATTGTTTATTTATTTCTGGACTTTTTATATCCTATTAATCACTGCAAATAATTGGAAAAAGGCAGTATTGTTGCTCTTTATTTCAAAAAGGCTTCAAATTCCATTAAAGTTGTCAGAAGAGATATGGGGCTTAATCATATTGACTTACGATTGCTTGACTTCAATACACATGCTTTTTTCATTTAAATTGATTTGAGAAAAGGGCTAGTACATTTGTTTTCCAAATCACGAGTTATAGACAGTTTGTAAAAGTATTAGCATTTGAAATTAATATATAAGATTCCAGATTTTACATATGTATGATTAATTAAATGTAGTTATTATTAGTTTTTCTGGCTGTAAACATATATTTGATTATTGCTTAAATAGTCAAGTGATGGATATATTATGGATTTTGTGGCTAAACAAGAGTATGTAAATCTGAAAAGAAACATTAAGTGATAAATGTTTTATTTACGTAATTAATGTTCGATTAATGTTGTTTTTAGTCACCAAAGTGGCCAAACATTATGGTATTGCGAACACTTGACTCTGTCGGATATTTCGTTAATGGTGGTAATGGATGTATAAATTTGTTTAAACAAAATCATCTTATCGGTTCCGCTATACTTTGTGATGGCTTATATAAATTAAAGCTTGATAACCTCTTTGTCGAGACTCTTTTGACCTTGCATCATAATTGTAATGTCCCAAAAATTTTGGTAGAATGGAATTTAATTTTTATATATTATATTTTAATGTTTTGAAAGTTTAGGGACTAAAGTATATATAAAGTAAATTTCGATTTTATTTGGCTTAAAATGTAGATAATGACGGAACGATAATAAGTATATGAATATTGGGCTCGTTGGATAGGTTATAATTAATCATGCATGTTAGGCTCGAGAAAAAATTAATTTGGATTAATGGAGCCCAAATTATTAAGGTCGAAAGATATAGCTTTAAAATTATATTTTAACTGATTATTTAAAGAATGTGAATGGAGGAAGATTCTTCGGTAAGTTATGATTGATATATATATATATATATATATATAAGAAGAGAGAGAGAAAAGACCACGTGAGAGAGAGAGAAACTTTATTGATTCTTGTTTCAATTTGCTGTTGCTGGCCACGTGTATGAGAGTTATTGCTTGTTGAGTGATAAAGTTGGTTGACAAGATTTGATCAATTACTTAAATTCAAGAGTCCGTTTCCCAATATTTGTCCATACTCCTATCCCACTTCTACACATTTTTCTCAACTACACACCCACTTTGTTAGACTAGATCATGGGGGTGATATATTTATACATGTATATCAAGAGAAGCCATATGCATAAGTACATGGTTGTAGCGAGTAAAAAGTGATGGAACCAGGTAAATTACATATTTCATACTTTATGCAGTGTAAAAGGATTCTTGCTTTTGTACCCTAAAAATTTATAGATACTTATACATGTGGTATTGGAATTTAAAATAGGAACAAGAAGACTTTGGAGCGTGATTTCTTTGGTTTTGTCTTTTAAAAAAATTAAAATGACCTAACAAGGTAAGATATGAGGTGCATTGTTTTTATGTCTTGTTTAATTATTTTTTACATGTTGATGAATTTTAGTACTCATGAAAATTAAAGTTATGATATGAAATACTATGATATGAATGATATGACAATTTCAGTACAATGATATGATATGATACGAGCTCTTACCGGATTTAAAGATATGAGACGGTATGATATTCTGACGTGTTTAAAATTATTATTCAGAATTGAATCATTAATTTTTATGTCCTGCTGAGTATTTTCATATACTCACCATTTTCCTTACTCCTCACAGATTAGGACGGGTCGTTGGTTGGAGCATGAAGAGGTGTAGTTGTGGTGCCAGGATTTTTTAGACTCAATAAAGTGAAATCTAAAGTAATGTTACTGAATATTTTATTTCCAACAATAATTTTAGGGGTATCTATTTGTGTTGTCCATTTTTCCTTCTCAAGGGATTCGACAGTTTAGTAATTATGTCCTACAGTATAAATTATTAGTAATCAATATCTTATTCGTAGGCTATGACATAAATAAATTCTATCTTTTTTGGGTTTCTTATATTAAATTAATATTTGGCTTGTTAGTTAATTCTACATGTTACTTTTGACAAAATTAATTGGTTAATGGACACTATGCACAAATTAGAAGAAAAACCTTGTGATAAGATGTAAGAATCACTGCTTTAATTATGCCAGGAGTTCGAAAATTTCTATTTGTCTGCTAGCTGTGTCGGACTCGTAAATTAATTCGAGTGCCAAATTTGTTCCTAATAATTACATTATAAATTGACTACACGTGTATCTCACATAATTTGAGGAATGATTATTATCCGATTGAGTTAAGTGCTCCGAAGTAGGAATAAAATATTAATGATGTGCTTCACTCGTACTAGGTCGCTAAAATTGCATATTTTCTGGACGCGTTACAGTTGAAATCACTCAACTATGCATATAATTGAATTATATGATTTATTTAATTTGAGATCCATCGGAACATGTTTTCGTATATTGTGGTGTTGGGGAAAAGTCGTCATTTTTTTGAGAATAAATGAACACGAGATTTGAAAAATTTTCTACATAAAATTTTGTAAAATTATCGTTACGCATTTTTTTTTCACATAATTATATATACCTATTTTGTATGTCACATAGTTAAGGCCTGGGGAAACCTTTGGTATCGACCAAAATGTTAAAATTTGGATCTTTACACTTTGATATCAGAGCATATGTTTAATTTTCTAGTAGATCCAAGTGTATTCTCATAATACGATGTAAAAAAAAAAAAGTGACGTGAACAGTGACAGCACTGTTCACCTAGGAACAGTACACTGTTCACGTGAACAATTAAATAAAAAAATTAGAACAATTTTAAAAATAATAATAATAAATAAATAAATAAAAATGAAATGAGCATAGTATGTGAATTTTTTTTTCCAGCCTCCATTATATGGAACCTTTAAATTGCAAAATTGCAAAGTAGTCCTTTAACTTTGTACGTGTATGTATATATGCACATATATAACTTTTAGAAATGTCCTTTTATATATATATATATATATATATATATATATATATGTATGTATGTATGTATGTATGTATGTATGTATAAACATTGGACTTTACATGGTTTAAATGTTCCGTATAATAAAAAATGTTTATTTGTTTACCCGTTTCCTTGCGTTATGTTTGTTAAAGGTTAATATTTTTCTAAAGGTTTATGAATTTAAAGATAAAGTCAATTTAAAGTTATTAAATATATGAATGATCTTTGGCACTCAACGACCACCAATCAACTATCATCCGATGACCCTAAAGTATGTAAAGGGGTAAGAAGATAAATGTACTCAGACATTTTGCATAATTTAAATATTTTAAATTGCATATCTTTAAATTTTTAAGATTATTTTTCTCGTTAAATTTATGACATGCATGCGATAAAATAAGTATAACTTGTTAGACTTAGTACTGGAATGTGATTGGTAACTTCAAATTAAATTTTAGGAGATGACACCACCTACACACACGAACTTGATGCGCAATTTACTATGAGCGGTACAAGAACTTAGTAGACAGGGCCAAGCATTGCCGCCACATAATGCGCCGCCACATAATGCACCGCCACAACAAAATACACCTTTATTTGTCCCCGGAGCTGTCTCAGTGGTTGAGCGTTTCGTAGGTACAAGCCTCCGACTTTCGATGGTGGTTCTGACGCACTAGCTGTTGAGGAGTGGATTAGAGGTCTGGAGCACATCTTTCGACATATCGCTTGTACGGATGCACAGACAGCACTATGCGCAGAATTCATATTTGTTGGAGCAGCTAACCACTGGTGGAATTTTGTCTCACGCACTAGGACGGAAGAGCAGCAATGTAACTTGACTTGGGAGCAGTTTAAGGATGAAGTGATAGCAAAATATTTTCTACAGGCTTTAAGAGACTTCAAGGAATCAGAGTTTCTACAGCTCAGGCAAGGAGACATGCCGCTTACTGATTATGAAAGGCAGATTGAGCACCTCTCAAGATATGTCCCGCACTTAGTAGATACTGAAGTTAAGAAGATTATGAGGTTCGAAAATGGACTGCGCCCAGAGATCGGCATTATCATTATGTCCCTTCGTTTCACCTCATATCGTGAGATGTTGAAGAGAGCCCATGCTATTTCATACCAGAGAACCCCATTTGGACAGTATACCCAGCAGAGCAAGGAGTCGTTTGGAAAAAAAATGGGGTGATCAGAACAAGAATAGACGTAACTGGCAAAATAAAAGGACAAACACAGTAGTTCGTATTGGTGGGACGAGTGAGAGTATCACACCATGTCCTAAGTGTAATAAACTCCACAAGGGTGAATGTTTACTTTGTAAAAACATGAGTTTCCGGTGTGGTAAGCCAGGACACATTGCTCTCAACTGTATAGAGCCTCAAAGAAGAAGGATGATGATCAGGACAAGAATAAGAAAGGAGAGGCCTAGGTTTTTACATTGAATCGGCATGAGATGGAGCATGATCCAAATGTGATAGCATTTATTTTATTATTAATATTTTCAACATACATGCCTATTTTCTTTTTTACCTAGGACTATACATTGTTTTATCTATGTCACTTGGTTGCTAGTCTAACACTATAATTATGAAAACAAGTATTCTATTACTATCTGATGTACCTGCTTACGTACTTTTTGACTCTGGGGCTATAAATTCTTTTATTTCTACATCCTTCATCGCTAGGTCAAACTTTGCATGTGTTAAAACAAATTATGAATTAGAGGTTAGCATCCCTCCAGGAAGAACTCTTTATACAAATCGGATGACTAAGGCTATGAAGTTAGAGATCGATGGGAAAATATTACAAGCAGACTTATACTTGTCGGAGATGAAAGATTTCAATGTTATTTTGGGCATGGATTGGTTGGGACTTAATCACGTGATCATTCGATGTCACAAGAAAGAAGTATTATTTCACAAACTGGGAGAGGAAGAATTCCGTTTCTTTAGAGCAAAGTTCAAGTCTTTGCCTTGTCTTGTATAAGCTATTCAAGTGGAAAAGATCTTGAAAAAGGAATCATGTCAATGATTTTTAGTTAATATCACTAGTCCCTAACATATAGAAACGACTATTAACGATATTAACATCGTGCGAGATTTTGCAGACGTATTCCTATAAGATTTACCAGGTATTCTTCAAGATAGGCAAGTGAAATTTACAACTGATTTGGTTTCTGGAGCAGCACCAGTATCCAAGGCCCTGTACCGAATGGCACCGAAAGAACTTTAAGAATTGAAGTTACAATTAGACGAGTTTGTAGACGAAATGTTTCATTCAACCAAGTGCATCTCCTTGGGGAGCTCATGTACTTTTTGTCAAAAAGAAGGATGGGAGTATGAGCATGTGCATTGACTACCGGGAATTAAACCATCTTACCATAAAAAATAAGTACCCATTGCCAAGAATAGAAGATTTGTTTGACCAATTAAGGGGTGCTACAATGTTTGAGGTCAGGGTATCATCAGATGAAAATCAGGGCAAGCGATATACCAAAAACTGCTTTCAGGACTCGTTATGGACACTATGAATTCACTATCATGCCTTTTTGTTTGACCAATGCTCCAGCTGTATTTATGGATCTCATGAACAAAGTGTTTCAGCAATACTTAGACCAATTCGTTATAGTATTTATTGACGACATACTCGTGTACTCCAAAGACAAGAAACAGCATGAGGAACAACTCTGAGTAATACTTGAAACTTTGAGGAATGAGAAATTATATGCCGAATTCAAGAAGTGCAAGTTTTGGCTTGATCGTGTAGGTCTTCTTGGTCACGTGGTTACCGCCCAAGGAATCGAAGTATATCCTATTAAAGTGGAAGGAATAACAAATTGGCCATGGCTAACCAGTGTGGGTGAAGTCCGCAGTTTCTTGGGATTGGCTGGTTATTATAGAAGATTCATTGAAGGCTTCTCAAAAATAGCAGGACTGATGACTCAGTTGACAAGAAAGGGTGTAAAATTTTAGTGGACAGAAAAATGTGAAAAATGTTTTCAAGAACTCAAGCAGAGACTAGTTTCAGCTCCGGTATTGACGATACCGAGTAGCTTGGATGGATTTTTGATTTACAGCGATGCCTCGAAACAGGGTTTGGGCTTTGTACTGACGCGGCATGGAAAAGTAGTTACTTACACCTCAAGACAGTTGTAGCAGTACAAGCAAAACTAGCTAACTCATGACTTGGAGCTTGCAGCAGTAGTTCACGCCTTAAAGATATTGCGTCATTATCTCTATGGTGGGAAGTGTGAAATTTATATAGACTATAAAAGTCTTAAATACTTTTTCACATAGAAGGAACTGAATATGAGACAGAGGAGATGGTTTGAGTTAGTGAAAGATTATGACTGCACAATTCATTACCATTTAGGTAAGGCTCACGTAGTTGCAAATGCCCTAAGCAGAAAGACAGGATCACAGTTAGCAGTTCTATCCACAGTGCAAAAATACTTGATGAGGGACTTTGAAAAACTAAAATTAGAAGTTATCACACCGCCGACTCAGACTACAACGATGATTAAAGCATTTATGATTCAACCTACACTTTGGGATCGAATTAGGGAAGTGCAAGATAAGGATCCATTTCTATAGAAGATAAAGACTAAGATTGGTTCAAACAAACCTAT